ATATCTTTTTTTAAACACACCGATACAATTTCGAGTTTGGATGTGATTTTGGCTATAATTGAACTATGAAGTGCCTGTAGCAGTGTTTTCTCTAGGTGTCATTAGTCAGGGTTCTTCGTCATGTGGTCTTATAATTTCACTCACTATGTGGGTTCCATCGGCCGTGTGATAGTAATCACACCTGGAAAATTATTTTTTTCCATAAATCCTGCTTCAGTTAGATTTTTCTCGTCTTGAGTCACAGGAAACTGAACCCTGATGGCTATTGATACTTTATCTATTGCTCTGCTCTTGACATAGTTTGTAGCCACATAAATATTATAGCTTTGCCCGATTGTTTCTTCACATCTAACATCTTCTTTCTGAAAACAGTCACTGTTGTTGGTGGTTGGGCATCACACATCACTGGATATTTTCCAGACAAATATGTTAAATTATTAATGGGCAACAAAGCATAATTTTTAAACTAAACTAAACTTTCAGGAATCAAAAATAGCTATGGTATAAACAAGCAAACCAAATAATAACAAAAACAAACTTAATAATGACGTATACAGTCAATTCAATAAATAATATAAACATTTCTTAGGAATCAAATAATAGTTCCCTAGAGTTTTCCCTAGATTTGTACTACGTTTTTCGAATGGTTAGTAGCATGATAAAAGGATCCGAGAACGTAGCCGGACTATTGTCGATTGTGACACAGGCTTTTGAAAATAGATATCTACTATGGAAAGCGAGCTGTAGAATTCTATAGAGCACAGAGTCCCAGAGCTGTCTCGAAAAGCTGTCTATGTAGACAGATCTGTCTCGAAAAGCTGTCTATGTGGACAGATCTGTCTCGAAAAGCTGTCTTTATAGACAGACCTGTCTCGAAAAACTGCCTGTGTAGACAGATCTGTCTACATAGACAGCTCCGGCACGTTGGCGCTTTGATAAAGGACGACAGGACGCCCTACTCAAAGGCAAGCAACGCGGTGTCGGGTTGGAGATTGGATGGGTGACCGCAGTAGTACGGGACGGTGGGTCGACCGCGCTGCCGCCAATCATCTGATCTGCAAGTATGAATGAGAAGTATGAATGAGAAGGAGTAGAGCCCATACGAATGACATACAAAAAGCCTATAAAGGCTGCAGTGTAGAGTATGGGCTCGAAAGGGTTAAACCAAAAATCTAAAAAATCTAGACAGCTTTTCGATACAGGTTAGTAGTAACGGGGGCACCTGAGCCTGAGAAATTTTTCGATACCGTGGGAAAATCTCTAAATCGGCGGCGCCTTTGATCTGAAATTTCGTGGATTTGACCCGGGCCAACCGGTTAACCGTGAAACATGATACTCTTGTATGTTCCCACATTAAACGTCGGCGGCGTGCTGCAGACCCGATGGCTAAACGACGATTTATTATTAGTTATGTCATCATCAGACCTGATGGCGAAACGATGTTTTTATTATTAGTTACGTCATCATCAGTACAATGCACCTTGAATGAGGTACCAAGTCACGAGGTGCTGTGTGTTCGATGAGCCGCTTGGAGCCAGGTACGGTCAATAACCCCGAACCATTGAAAGACACGGGAACTGGAAAGGGGGCGGGGCTTTGCGGCAACGACGGTCTGGCAGATTGGACGGATGACCTTGAACGGTACAAAAATTGCTAAATCGGACCTTAGATTTTCTTATGGAGATTTACATGGGAAAATGACCTATTTTGCGCTCGAACTGTCATAGCTCCTTTACTCTGGGACTTTGTAACAAATAAAGATATTTCCTCTATCTCTATTGACATCCCTTCTCTATTGATTTCAAAAAGAGAGAAGAAGACAGCGTCATAGCGATAGGGATAACGATCTCAGTCCCAGCCCAGAGGCAAGCTTTTCTGAGACTTTTGACTGGGGTAGCAGTCAAGCAGTCAAGACAGGGAATCATCGGGAAAACTCATCAACAGCAAGCTCAAGTTGAATGAAATATTTTGGGGCTAAGTAAAGTAAGGATAAGCGGACAACAAATTAATTTAAGATTTTTTGTCCCTTCACATAAGGGACAGAAAGTTTCGTGGACCAGGGTTTATGATTCATGAGGACTATTCCAGGATTGCTGATATCAAGAACATACGAGTGAGAGTCATGGTTCGATATGTATTGGAACTTAGCTAGTGAAAATTAGGTACTTGAACCTAGTTCATACTTCAGCCAGCAGGAAATCAGACATAAAATAGTTCTACGAAGATGTTTCAGAGGCTCTTATTTACTTCACTAATGGGCGGTTTTAACAGCGAAGTGCGCGAAATATGGAAGATGCGGTCAGGGTACCCATATGGTGTTGAGGGAGATTCTTGCTCGAATTTGCATAGAAACTGATGCGTTGGATCTTGCCAGAACAACATTAAGCGTGATTGATTTCGTCCTTACAAATGACAAACAGAGCTCAAACAACTCTTGAGAAATTTGGTATTGGAAGTGACCGTAAATAGTAAGTACCAGAGTATCGATTAGCCTTAAAAGAAAAAGAGGAAAGACGTCAAGCTAAACTCCGCAGCATGAAAGATAAAGGATTGAAAGAATGCGACCGCCCTGTACGTGAATCAACACAACTCTGTATTATTGTCGTCTTTGCCTAGTCAAGCAGTCTATCTAGTATTTCTTGATCATTTCAGTAGGTTTGCTAAGTTCTTAAATTCTGTCGCTAGGAATTTTCGTTACATTTGCTTTCTCTGAGATGTGTATTTACTGACATGAAGCAATGGATGTGGAGAAGCAACCAGAGGAATAGATACTCTTAGTGGGTACTAAATCTATCTATAAAGAACTTTATGGTGAAGCGCATCGATCACTACTTTAATCAGCCTCTAATCAGGATTCAAGGCTCGGAAGATAGATGACAATAGAGAAGTGATGAAAAACCATGCATCACATAAAGTTTAGAAAAGCTCCTGGAATCTGGACATGATGGTATGATAAAAGAACAACTGGAGCAGACTGACATCTTAGAATCTCAAATATTTTCTACAACATTTGTCTCTCACAAGTAGTAACATCAACATTTCATAACGATATCATTGTATATACTCCACAACTATACCAGTTATCTCTTTCTCACAACCCAACTGCTTATTGAAAAGTGTTTGAAGTACCTATAACAATCCAATGATACTCATTTTTGTCAACTACAATGAAGCCTTTGATTTCTATGTCCAAACATAATGAAAATATCACCTTCATTTAATGTTTAAAAACTACCTGCCTTTGCGTCTTGTCCTAGAAGTAACGAAACAATTCTAATCTCGGTATGAAAGACAGCTCAACTTGCAAATAAATATGAATAAACCCAATGGATATCATATCAATACCAACCTTTTTTCACAGTCAAACTAAGACCGAAATTGCAAATTGTTTAGATTACATACCTACGATTTTTGCACAAACTCCTATTCCCAAAGGTGCATTTAAACATAATTCCAAAATTTCTCTGTACAAAGAAATTTTTTTCTTATTATGATCGAACGCTCAAGTGCTCCATCATCCATAGAGCGAAATTCCGGACATGAAATGAATTGGGTCATCGTGCCGCCACCCACGCTCCCACCTGCATACAAACATCGATTTCGGGATAATTATTATTTTATCTGGACCAGGACCTGCGGCTGTGCGTGCGGACCGCCGCATGATGTTGATTTCGAATGCACTGCCTCCAATTGAAACGTGTGGAAATATCCATATACACGCTGGAAAAGTTTAAGGAATGCGCGCACAACGCACAAGGGAGAGCTCAAACAGTAAGATAGTAAGTTTAAGAAAACTTTTAAAGCGGGGGAGAGTGAAGTTTTATGTATAGAAGGAGGTAGATCTGTTTTCCTTGCAAAGAAAAACTCTGGGAGAAATGGGCTAGAGGATTTTTATGGAGTTTGAGGAACATCAGGCATGTTTGGGAGATTTTTCTGAATGTCGACTTTAAAACCGTTGTTGTAGTTTCGCCTTGAAAAAGTTCGGCTTTTTTTTTGTTTCTCATTTAAAGAATGAAGTTAAGGTATATTCACACTCAAATCTAGTAGTAGGACGAGGATCTAGTCTCGGATCCAAAACTCTATTGGATAGGCTTGAAGCCTATCATAAAAATAACACATCAAATTTAAATAATTTAACTCAATTATAAATAGATTTTTCTTCAATTGCAACCTCTATATAAAAGAGAAAACCCTCAACATCCAAGTTCATTGAACAAAAAAAAAAGTAATTGTAACCTTAGGACACTTGAGGGCTAGTGACCGAGCCAAACCAGATGGCGCGCATTGCAAGCAGGAGAAGGGGGGTGGTTCTCGTATAGTATGCACATATATGTGTAATAATAAGACAATAGAATCCCTATAAATGGGCCTGGGGAATACATAAGAGCCCTTTAGGCGGCGTAGACAAGGGCGGCCGTTAAGCGATACTCCTTTGTTTTAGGGGTTGATGTTCGGTGCAGGACAATTTTGTACTTCATCGGGTAATATTTGAAAATAACGAGGGGAGCTTTCGTGTAATTGAGGATTGTTTGTTGTTTATGCCCCGGTGTGAGGGCTTACAGTTTTGCTTGATTAACATTTGTCCTTTGAATAGGAAATGAATACTTGAACCTGAAAACTTCACGAATGCAGAACTTACTGTAAAGTTAGTACTTAGGAATTCAAATTTTGTTTCCTGACAACTACCCCTTTTCTAGAAATTTAAGTGCAAAATCTTAGACCGTATACAACTATTTTTCAAAACCAAATTTTATCATTGTACCTAGAAACTCAAAGAGAAGCAAAGCAAATTTATGATAATGGAAATAATTATCCATTCAAAAGCTTCTAAAAATTCAAATTTCTCTATAAAATTTACATAATTAGTTTAAAATGCACTCAACCATTATCATTACAATGCAAATTAGAAAATACAAAATTTTAATTTAAACATTATCCATGATAGGGTTGGTTTATAATTTTGACATTAGCCTACTTAAAACAAAACCGTCGTGACTTACCTGTCATTGTCAAAAAGCCCGCCAAATACAAACGTAACACCGACATCGCACGCCAAGAAAAATAGACTCTAAAAAATCCGTTCCTAGGGTTCCTATCTAAATTCAGCATCCATAACTGCCTAATCTAACTTAATACTGGGTAACCGTTAAAAAAATTAACCCCGTATATTTTTCTGTATTTTGTGTGAAGCAGGGTTAGAGAATCGGCATTTTCGAGACTGGGACTCGGTTGCCCAGGACGAGAGGCGAAAGAAAACTGACGGACGGTCGGGGGATGCTGGGAGCGCGCGCCGCTGTAGATGCTTCGTTGGGGGGTACGTTTTTCGGGGGGATATTCATCCCTACCCGGTTTACTCTCGAATTTGTCTGGATACACTACTCGACACAGATGGGGAGGAAGTGTATCCAAATACGATCAGACTGATGAAAAAATGTCAGCAATCTGAACAAGTAACAAATATCAAATTCATCCAGGAGATGCAGTATACGATGACTCGTCGAATTGCCTACAAGAGAACAATATTTGTATACAATATATAGGAAGGAGGCAAGCTCATGTATAGTTCAAAAGAATGAGCAAGCTGAGACATTTATCGGAAAATACGCAATAGAAACAGAGCCAATGATGATAAAAATCGTGGTGGAAGGAAGCGACTGTGTTTCATAAATACTCCTTCCTCCAAATGAACAAAACAAAAACGAAATTGCTGCCTTGTAGTTGGATATTGAGTATTTAGGTAGAGGGTAGAAGAAGACAGCCTCATTACCTGGTAGGTATCTAGATTAGATTAGATTAATATTGGGGTGTTGTTGCACTGCGACCTGAAGATCTATTGTGCCCCCTGCTGAGGCCGATTTGATGTGGATTTCAAATCATAGTACTTCGTCCAGTCCTATGGCCTTGATGAAGGCTAGTAACTGGTACGGTGTCAAGGATGGTATGTCTCCTTCTAAAACTACATAGTCACCGAGATGTGTAGCCCGCAGCCTTATTCTGTAACTTGCAACCGCAGAGAATTGCGCAATAGTCGCTGTCAATTCGTTGTCAAACGCGAGTTTCCCATTAAAAAAAAGCAACTTGCGACCGGTTGCTGGTTGCTATGTAATTGCTGTTCGTAGAGAATAGGCCTGCCGGCTTCTAGCAACGGCTTCGCATACAGTTAGTAGGTGTTCTGCAGTTTCTTCCTCCTCCCCGCAAAACCTGCATTCATTGGATCTCTCGAGTAGCATTTTCCTGCTGTGTTCTGGAAGGTGGCAGTGCCCTGTCATAAACCCTGTAAGAATTCTTAGTTTAGTTTTACTTGAATTTAGTAGATTTTAGATTTTTTGGGATTGAAGTTTTCAAGGAATATCTTAGAGTGTCTCAGTCCCGGAAGGTCGTCCCAGAGGCGAGCTCTTAGGTCGTCTTCCAGAAAATAAATAGGTACCTATTAGAACAGAAAGAGAGGACAGGAATCAGAAAATCTGGAAAGGTGTGGTAATTTCATCAGCGAGGTTCAAACCAAATCAAGAGCGGAGAAAGGAGACTCGATTATTATACACAGGAAATGAGGAAAATATATAAAATCATGAGAAGACTGGATGAATGTGTTTGGAAGAAAACTAACAATTTTGGGAATATATGAACTGAACGATGCATTCTATCAACTAAGTAATTAAATGATAAAACTAGGAAAGTCTGAAGAATTATTTGCTAGGAGATGTAAAGGTAGTAGGAAAATTTATTTATATTATTATTATTATTATTATTATTGAAATTGAAATTTTCTCACAGAATTGTGATTTAATGTTGCTGTGTCACTGCAAATACCTACTATTATTTTTAAATTAAATTGAAGAATGATCTGACAATATCGCATGTTTTTGTGATTACTGATTTCTGAAAGTTTTTGTTTATGTTAGTGTTAAGTCCTAGCTGTTTCAGGTGTGATCTGAATGTTTTGGGTGTGAGGCCTGTTACTGACATAATCAGGGGGATAATAGTAACTTTTTCCTGCTTCCAGAGTCTCTTCATTCCGATTGCTAGATCTGTGTGTTTACAGATTTTTTCATTGTAGTTTGTCTGGATGTTTTTATCACTGGGAATAGCTAGGTCAATTAGGTATGTGATTTTTTCTCTTTTTAACTGACAGGTGATATCTGGTCTATTGCCGTATATCGTTTTATCTGTTTGAATATTATCCCAGTATATCCCAGTATAGTTTGAAATCCTTGCTTTCGAGTATAGATGGGTGAGCGTTTTTGAGAACGAGAATACCAACCCTGGTCTATTGGCGGATATTGTTTTATCTGTCTGAATATTGATATCCCAGTATAGTTTGTAATCTATGCTTTCGAGTATAGACGATGGTGTGTATTTGTCGTATGGCTCTGTGTTTTCTATTAGTTTGAATGCTGTGGCCAGTGCTTGGTAGATTACTTTTGCTGCTGCGTTATGTCTTGCTGTGTATTCTGAGCCAGATAGGGACTTGCATCCACTTGTAATATGCTCAATTGTTTCCTTTTGGAGGTGGCATTTCCTGCATGTATCGTCTGCTGTAGCCGGGTCTTTGATGATATATTTTTGATAATTTCTGGTTGGTATGATCTTATCTTGCATCGCGAGCAGGAGTCCTTTCGTTTCTGTCCATGCAGAATCTTTTCTGACCAGGTGTTCATTTTCCCCTGTTGCAATTTCGTGTCGTTGTATATGTCTATTGGATGTGTTGTTTGGGATAGGTTGAGGGGTGTATAGTTTTTATCTGATATGCTTATCGCTCTGTGGAGCCCCCATTTCCTAAGTGTTTGTATTTGCCTTGCGTGTAGTGATGTTACGTCTACAATTCCTCTTCCTCCTTCATTCCTTTTGATTGTTAGCCTTTCCTCGCATGAATTGGGGTGTGACTTTCTGAGTTTGGTAAGTACAGAGCGCATGAGGATGTTAATGTTTTCCAGGTCAGTTTCGGACCACTTGATGATACCGAATGAGTATGTATGAGTAGGAATGGCGTATGTGTTTATGAGCTTAGTGAGATTTCTGGAATTTAATTTACTTTTTAATAGCCTGATGAGTCTATTTCTAATTCACTTTTAAGCTCTATTTTGATATGAGTGAGATTGAGTTTGGTACTTTGATGGAATCCTAGGTATTTATATGTTTCATTACTGAGCATGTTGTCTAGTGTTTCACTATCGACGGTTTGGACATCATGATGTTTTTTCCACTGGCCTTTGTTTATCTGGTGTACCCTACATTTACTTATCCCAAACTCCATACAGGCGTCTGAGGTGAATGTTTCTGTAATTTTGAGGAGGCTTTTCAACTGTGTTATTATTATTATTATTATTATTTTTTGGTTGGCCTTACTTACACTCCCGCGGCTCCGACACTTACACAGGTGCAAGTAGGCCTGGTGTTCCATCCATTGTTCTACTCCCCACCAACCGCAAGGTTAGTAGAAATGGTGTTCCACATCGTGTGCTCTGAGTAGAAGCAATGATCACAGGATGACCGCTTTCTACATCGTGCCAGCAAGGTGTTCCGCTTTATATCACGGCAGACTGGCAAGGTCTTGAGAGCTCAGCAGTGTTTGTCGTGCACCTCCGAGAGCCCCAATCACCAAAATCACTAGCTTGACGGTATAGCCCCGGTATTATTATTATTATTATTATTATTATTATTATTATTATTATTATTATTATTATTATTATTATTATTATTATTATTATTATTATTATTATTATTATTATTATTATTATTATTATTATTATTATTATTATTATTATTATTATTATTATTATTATTATTATTATTTTCTAATTCACCTTTAGAGGGATGGATTCGAGTCATAACCGGACGGAAGTCCAGATTACGTCTCGTGCAGCACATAACGCCGCACTATATGACATGTTCCAAGCACCACCGGTTTTTGCATTAGTCCGGCCAGTTCTCTGTCCAGGTCGAGTTATTCCAGATTTTTAACAAGTCGTCTTTCTACTAAACCTGTCGCAGAAATTATGAACGGCAAGACTTCGATTTTCTTGAGATCGTAGATTCTTTTTAATTCGTATAACAAATCTTGGTGACTTTCCCTGTGTAGGAATTTACTATGTTGCTATCTGCTGGTACTGCAAAGCCAATGACAAATGTATATTTCCCTGTTTTGTTAATGTAAAGAATGTCTGGTTTATTGTGAAGGATTTGCTTATCAGTTACGATCAGCGTGTCCCAGTAGATTTTTGTTGTTTCATTTTCGATGACAGAGCTAAGGTTGTACTTGTAATACGGAGGAATTTCCTTGATGAGATGGTTCTTGTGACAAAGGTGACTATGTACGATTTTTGCTACGTTATTATGCCTGTTCAAATACTCTTTTGGAGCAATTAAACTACATGCGGTGATAATATATTGTATCGTTTCAGGCTTCAGGTTGCATACTCTACACAAGTCTGTTGCAATGGCTTGTTTCATCACGTGGCGTACATAGTACCTTGTCGCTACAACCTGTTCTTGTACTGCATTTATTGCCCCTTATTATTAATAATATTATTATTATTTTTTTTTTAAAGCCGGGGTATTTCTACCCAAGGCTTCAACAGTTCAAGGCCTTTCTGACGATACGGACGGTACCAAGAATTGGCGCTTTCATACAACAAACGACTAGGTATTCTGGAAGTCCTACTTTTCGGAGATTTGCAGTGAGGTCTTTGTGTATCAGGCCATTTGAGGAGATGATAAAGGGAAGTATGTGGAATTCCTGTAGCTGGTAAGTATGTTTTAAATCATGTCTAAGATCTTGATACTTTGATTTCTTTCAGCGGCTGTTTTTTGGAGATTGGAATCCAAGGGTACTGCAATGTCCATAATATACCCATTATGTGGTATGTGCCTATTCGTAACTATCTGTACATCGAAGTAAAGTTTATGATCCTCATTCTGCAATAGCGGTTGAGCGTTATATTTATAATAAGGATCCTTTCCTTAGCACAGCTTTTACTTCTTTCCTAATTCTTGGTGATTTATTTTAGCGATGCTATTATGTCTTTCGGTATAGCTACTGGGAGCCAGGTAAGTGTATCCTGAGCTAATACGTTGGATAGACTCTGTAGTTTGGTTGCAGAGTCGGCACCTATCGTTCTGAATATTTTCTTTCAAAATATATTTTCGATACGCCCTAGTTGATACGACTTGGGTAGCACATATAAAACCTTCAGTTTCTCCAGATAATGGTAGGTTATTCCAACTGCTGCGTGTGCGGGCT